TAAACCGAAAACCGGAAACCGAACCTTTCACCGAGCTATCCATCGATCCATCCTTCCCCTTACTCCCCCTCTCGTTATAATTCGTTGCGCGGGCGTCTCTTCCGGGGGATGGCGTGAATCGCTCTATTAAAAACCCGCTCGAGGAAACTCCATAGAGATAGATAGAGTCTTGAAACATAAATAGATTCGATTAATTAATCCTATTGATTATTGTATTGATTGTAATACTTTTTTCTGTTAAATTAATCGAATACGATGCTCTACGATTTAACGTAGTACTTTTAAAAATTTTTATAATTGTAATTACCTCGAGAAGTAATAAAACTAGTGTAATAAATTAATAAAGCTTCGAAAAGACTCGAGTTCTCGAAATAAAAAAGAAACTAATCCAGTCATCGGTTTTCAGTATATATCGATTCGAATATCGCGTGTAGTTGGTGGATAAACGAGATTCGTCGGGCAGATTGTTAAGCTTATCGAGGCTCGAACGATTGTTAAGAGAGAAATGACGGTTGTTTCTTTTTTTCTCTCTCTCTCTCTCTGTCTCTCTCGCTTAGCGGATCGATCGGGGAAGATTGATGGCGACGCGGTTAAAAGTGTTTCGATGGCACTCGATCGGTGAAAAGCGAGGCGGGGAAATCGCGATGGAGGCCGAAACGCGATTAAATCTCGCCGCGAATTCTAAATAATACGCTGAAAGCGTCCGGTCACCCTTCGCGCGCTTCGATCGATCAAGCGCTCGACGGAATTCTGTTTTTCCCGGATCGTTTCGCGGATTCTCGATCATTTTGCACTCGTTATTTTTTTTTTTTTTAGAAAAGTTCAAATCCCGCCTCGATTTATTAAAGATTTCGGAAGGATTCTTTTAGCACGAAGTCGCGCGATCGAGCAATTTGCGTTCGAGCTCGTCCAATTTTATCTCGTATCCTCTTTTGCCGATCTTTCCTTCGCCGTTTCGATATCGTAGAATTTTTTCCTTTTTTCTTTTTGAACGATTAACGTAATAAAAATCGCGAATAAAAATCTGCTCGTTATTCATTAACCGTCCAATATCTTTCGATGGAAACTTAGAAATTAAAAATTTCTTAAAAATAGACGCAACTACGTTAAATCACATTGAAACGCTCGAATGATAAATTCTCTCTCTCTCTTATTGGATAAATAGCCAAAAGAATATTCCAAGAAAAACGAAGACTCTCTAATTATCCACCCACCCAAATTCCCCTCCTACACCCACCAACGAATCGATCAATCGCCATCCTCGAAGAAACAGGTTGTCTCTCCTCTCCCCCCTCTCTCTCTATATATATATACACACACACACACACACACATATACGACTCCTCGTGACCTCGAGGACGCGCGAACCGCTCGATTCTCGCGAAAATATCCGGTCGCCCGTGAGCGAGCCGCGGCCACCTCTCGGCATCCTTCGCCGAGGATGCATCGTCGCCTG